GCACTTTTATTTTAAAAAAAGAACCTATCTAGAATGAGCAAAATAAAATAGAAAAATAAAATAGGTACAAATATCTAAATGGTTAATTTTTATAGTAGCTATTATGATGGAAGCAGCAAAACCAAGTTTCACCCTTAAATCTTATTTCAGGCAGAAGCCAGAAGCACAATATCTATATTATATGCAGTTGGTAAACAAGCACTGGCAGTGATCGCAATGGTGATGGATGAGCTGCCACCACTTGGGCACCAATAGAAAATCTTAGAAGGAAATTGGTAGACTAATATTCTAAAAACACACAACGAAAACCACAAAGACTTTAGATTAATTCTTGTCAAAAAAAAGAATTACCACATCAACCTAATTCAAATAGATGCCACCAGAACAAGCTAATTAACACTTTGCACCTTCCCTGTAAAACCATTTGCCCTTTGTGCATGAAGGTCCATAAGGTGACTTCTTTTGGTCGTCCCATCAATAACAAATTCTACTCTTAGGACAATGAAATTAGTACCTGAACCAAATCCAGAGCCGACCTATTTATGAGAATATATGGCATTGGATAAGCAGTAAATACATAGAAATAATATAATCACAAAAAACGATAATCTAAGACAAATAAATAGTTCACGCTGAAATCCATCATTCTCAGCCAGCTAACCCAATCCGTGATACAAAACTCAATCCAAAGATACTGTTTTGGTAAAGACTCTAGGCAAGGGCAAGATGCTGCCCCTCACAAACTAGCCTAAGAATACCAATAGCTTTCTCTTTTTCTTTCTTTTCCTTTTTTTTTTTAAATAAAAAATAAAAAGAATTTTGTATCTGAAAAATGAATTTCAGTCCAAAGAATGCTGGGACCCATAACATCGCGAAACGAAAGAACATCGGGTTAAAAGAATTAAGAAGAAATCAAATGGGTCAATGTAAAGGAACCTTAGAAAGACACAGAAGAACCGGGTACTCACGAAAGGATATCGGACTGATCGCCGGCGGGATCGTAATGCAGGGCGAACTTGAGATTAGAAGCTTCAGCCGGTGCCACCAGATTGAGGGAGAAAACAGAAAAGGCATGAATTTTGTCCTTTTTTTCAATTTAAAGATAGTAACTTTTTGAATCTTTAAATCAGCCCGTAAACTTTTACTTTTATTTATTTAAGGATATAAAATTTTGTTTTTTTTCCAATTTAAAGATATAAACTTTGCCTATTTTATTTGATGATAAAACTATTTTATAAGAAGGACTATATGTAGTTCATCATGTAAAATTATTTAAATATTTTTAAATTTATTTTTATATTATTTTTTTAGAGGCATTTAATTAATTTTATACAATTCATCATGTAAAACAGTTTTTTGTTATTTTATTTAATATTGCTATTTGTCACGTTATTTTTATTATTTAATAAAATTTCAAATAAAAAACTTAAAATTTACATTTTTGTTTAAAAATATGAAAATTTACTGTTTAATTTAAATATAAAAAAATTGTATATTTAAATTTTAAAGAAGGGCAAAATTTGCACCATTACCTACACATTTTCTCCTCTATTGGGCTTAAACCCCAGATATGCACTGAATTGCGAAAAAAAAAAAAGAAAAAAAAAAAGGGAAAACAGAAAATAAGACGCTCTGGCAAAAAAATTGCCAAGACGTCCCGTTTCATTTGTCTCCCATAATTTGCCCCCATTGGGCTTAAATCCCAAATATGCACCTGAATTACCAAAAAAAAAAAAAAGGGAAAACAGAAAATAAGACGCTCTGGCAAAAAAATTGCCAAGACGTCCCGTTTCATTTGTCTCCCATAATTTGCCCCCATTCCTTCCACAATAAACGCAATTTTTCTCAATTTGTGTCCCCAAATTTGCCCCCTATTTTCAAAAATAAAATGAGTTCGTCTGTAATTTCTCCGCAATTGTTTTAAATCTTTTGTTACGCTAAAGCGAGTACATAATTTTCTATACCATACTTGATTGCTGTCGAATTTGGATGCTTTTCCGAATGGGTATGGTTCCATTATATTTTATTCTTCCCTCTGTGTTTGTTGGGGTCCTATCTGTCTTCGTCTGAGTATGATTCCAATCCTTTTTCTTTTCTTCCCTCTCTTTGCGTTTCTCAAAGATGGATTAATGATGGTTTGAGTTCATAACTAATTTTGTGTCTTTTTACGTTAGTGGAATTCCGTTTCCTTGCATTTGTTATGTTCGTCCCAAACATGATGGAATTGCCATAGAGGAAGATTTAGAAAGAGCCCTTGTTCCTTCAATGAGAGAGGAGGAGAAGGATTTTGGCATGCCTGTGCTTTGATTGGGAGAGAAGGAAGATATTGTGTACTGCATAGGTAGAGTTTATGACAAGAAGATTGGAGAAATTGAGAAAGGCAAATAAACGCAGCGTATTTGGGATGTAGTGGCAATTTCTTTTTTTTTTTTTTTTTTTTTTTTGTAATAACCAAT